TATGATTGACCTATTTGAGGTACATGTGTTGGAAAACTTGATTTTCTGGGTCACCACGCCAGGCAAGTAGATTGAAGAGCGACAAAACTAATTTGGTGACCCTATATCTGACTCCAGTTAGATCAGATGAATGATTGTTATTGAAATATACATATCGTCAATCTTCCTATATTATTATCGACTCAACTTGCGTTAGTGAATAACGGAATTAAGTAAGTCAAACACGAGGATAAACTTTGAATGCGCATATTTCATGCAACCGCTGGTCTGAACAGACAATCGATCGGAGGAGCGAAGAGAAGAGAGTGAAGCGAAGCGACCCGTGGTGGAGAAGTCATGTTAGCCAACTCGATTTAACCAAGAGTCAATCGATATTTATAGTCAGACATAAATTGGTCACAGACATGTGATGAGTAAGATAAGAAATGTACACATATACGTTTACATAAAAATAGTCAAGGTTGATAAGCGAATAAATAACAAAGTCAAAATGTGACTCAAGATGAGAAAATTGGCCTGTGTGGAAGCTAGAATAAGCTATGTGGGCTTGACATAACAGCCGACACTACACTAAAAACAAAAAAGTCATCGTTTTGAGAGCTAAGTTATACTCCTGACTATACAGAGTTGCAGTAATGTTTTTCCTTTAACTGACCAATCAATATCTAGTTCGAAACTGCCTTCTCACAACAGGAAGAGTGGATTAGGAAAGTTCAGGGACATCACACATTGAATTCACTTGGTGTTGTTTTACATGTGTCTTCCCATTGTTGTTTAGGACTGCAATTGATCAGTCTCATGTTGGCATATGTGCATCCTATACGGATCGCCTCGTTATAGCCTCAAGTCACAACATTACACTTTGCCCCGTAGATCCCTTTTGTCAGGGGTAAGGTCATAAAAGTATGGACCCGACACATCAGTTACTCACGAAAACTCCGTTTGTGATTGATCTCGAGCAGTTGTTTCTTAAGGACTGTGTCTATGCTTCCGACCTAATTTCTAGGTCCTCCTATAAGAGGTATTCTTCCACTTTGTTAGCAACCTGTAAGTGACAATCACTCCCATACCTTTGATAGAACTTGAAATCACCTTTATCACTAATAAATACAATACTTATTAATAAATTATATTCCGTGTCTTAGTAATGGATGCTCACCAGACTAGATTATTGACCCAAACTCCCTGATGAACTGATACCGAAAATAAAATCACTAACCGGATGAGTAAGTTTTTTACTTAATAAAATGACATGTTAATACATAAATTATCCACAGAAAAATAAACATGGTTAAATGTCATAGGTGACTGGAAAGTGTCTGTACTGTAGATCACTTAATTTCCAATAAATTAAGACCTTACCTTTATGTTTGACGCTTCGTCGTCGTATCAATGTAAAACAAATAATCACTGTTGAAGCCTAGTAGGCAATCGCTTGATATTCTACCTCATTTAACCTGTCTGTTATCAGTAAGTGTGAATGAGTCTAACTTATAATATTAAGTAAGATGTTATGACATAATAGGTTATCATCAATTCCTGAATGTACGACGCCCTATAAATTGGCTTTGTCACAGTTATTCCTTTAGTAATCAAAAGTTTGCATTGATTTTCTTGAATCTTGCTCAAGAAATTAAAGCTTGCTATAGGATTAATCTAACTGTTTTACGTGATTTAATCAAATAAATTGTCAGCTGAAATAAATATTTTTATGATCGATCAGTTGTTAGAAATATGAATAGATTGATTTGTATTGAATATGTTATGACTTTCTATCGCGTTTGTATACTTTATTTAAGCAAACATATCTTTTACATGTAGATATTAATAGCAAAATGCAATAGTTTCGAAAGGTTTATTGATAAAATGAGAATATTTGTATTCAATATTAGATTTTATCTACTGTACTCTAGTTGTAAGCATATTAATGAGTGTTATACATTTATTATCTCCAGCTTTTCACTAATCAATTTCTTCTTTTTTTAATATTCTTAGAATATACTGACATCGTCATGTTGAATAAAGACACTACAAAATCACGGAGTCCTATTAACAACCAGCTAGTACCTAAGAATGTTTGGTCCGCGTTCCATACCTGCCAAAAATTGAGTAGCGTACTGTAACTAGGTTATAAAAAGACCGTTTGTAGACTACTGTTCAGTGTTTATATGTGTAGTTACTTCAATCCTGATAATGTCTGGTCACTAACGGCCTCTATACAGAGGGTTTGTTTGGGATTTGCGAACTTACATAACATTTGGTACCTGAAAAATATCTAACTGTTCATCAAAGGCTGCACATAATTCGCAGATATCTAGTGTTTGATATTCCTCAACAGAGATGCTTTTAGATTGGAGGTGTTTGACCACAGACTTCTCGTCATTCTTAGTGTATAATGGAAGTACCACTTATATAATTTATAACAAATTCAAAGGTATATACACATGGATTGGCCGCGTCTTTAGTGTGAGAGCTTGTGGTACTACTCGATTGTCTTAATAGGTGGGGTAGAGGTCCAACCTACAACCTAGTAGTTGAAATCCAAATGTTGTAACCAAGTTCGCTTCAGTGTTAATGAGTGACTGGAGTGATCACTTGACTATAATTACTCCCGTGATTTGTGTTGTTAAAGTCAAATAATGAGTGTCTATAAATAAGTTTGACTTTTAAGAATTATTGTTCTTGAACTAATGCAACTTCTCAAGCTGTTTATGTTGTGTTATTTGTGGTTCGGAAAGTCCTGTACAGTTACAGATGAAGCTTTCATCAATATAGTTGATGTTGGTCGGCTGAAACGTCCGAGAGTATTGTCCAACCAGAAGGTTAGCGGCGTCACCGTCGTTATTGGTCGGCCATTATGAACTAGCAGTCGGGAAACTCCAGTTTTGGCCTGTCGATGAGAGGCTGCATGACGGGATAAGCTTTTCGGATTGGAGACAAATTTATCGATAAGTTTTATCTGGTACTGAAACATGTCCTCTCTTATTGCCTTTGTGCATATGTTCCTTATATGTTTGTATTGCCCGTATGCGCCGATGTTATCAGTTCGTTTGTATTCCGCCCAACAGTGCCTTTTTCGGCCTAGCAAACGAAGAGTACGGTTCTTGATGACTGTATGTTGCTTGTAGATTTTGGGGATCGTTTGAGGAACAGACAGCTTTGTAGCGCATAAGATCGTGTGCAGTAGTTAATTCCAATGAACATCCACATCATGTTGAGGGTGAATTCCCAAATCCACCTGTTGTAGATTGTCCTGTAAAGCCGACACATTCAACCGTTTGAAATCCCAGCGCCTGTTGTTGGTGGGATGTCTTAGCTTACAAAGTCTAAGCGCGACGGCATCGAGTCGCGGTTGACTATGTTCACCACTAGAGGAACCATGTGGAGAGGTGGAGCCCAGGGATTGTGAGAAGGACGAATAATACCAGTAGCTGGTAAATTGTCAAACGTTTAGCGAAGGCCAATTCGTCCAGTACTAGTCGGCGAGGTTCTTCTGTGACTGGGGGTCCGCAGGTGACTATGTGGTCTATCACAAGATTGGTCACCAATGGGATCTCGATAGGTTTAGTTAATTGAGGAAATTTCTCGAATAAAGCGTGGAATATATCGTCACGCGAATAAAATACACCTAAGAATCAGTACGCGTTTGTTTGAGCTTTAAAGCTCATGAATTTACTGTTCGACGAATTATCGATTAGCTACACCCTACATGAATCGACTAGCAATTCATAGTGTTGCAGGAAATCGATACCGAATATGGTTGCGGGAACATCGGCAATGATGAGCGTCCACAGATACTGTCGTCGGTTGCCCAGGTTGACCGCGAGTTGTGTACCATAGATAGGAATGACAGCCATTCGCAGCGCGTAGTCGAAGCATCGCAGCTTGAGACTTACTGTTACCAATAGGTACAACAGAAACTTAGACACTTGTGTCTACTAGGTATCAAGCGTTAAAAGAAGCGACCAACCTTATGTGAGGGGCCGGCGAGTACAGCCGCATTTACTCGGCATGAAATTTTCCCGTCACTACCAAAAACCTTTTCGATACAAAATATATATATTATAAGTTCACCTGACATACTACTTTGAGTGTGTCGTTTTCAAGGAAACCATATCAAATCCAACATTTCATAGTCCTAATAATCATTGCCACATAGTCAGGAAGTTACCAGGTTACCTACAGCAACCTCTGTACTATAAGCCGTCGCACTCCCAACTACAGTTCCGCAAATCATGTCTCAACTTTTAAAACCCTTTTGGCCGTTCGTTTCTTTTCAAGTGTTATATTCTTCACCAACTTACTTGTTAACCTAGCTTATTCATGCACTGTATTATATCTTCTATGCCATTTGAACTTAACAACTATTTGAAGTGCCCTTAACATTTTACACTAAACCCATCATGATCCTTAGTGCCATGCGTATTTAGGTTTATAAATAGCTCTATCGCATCAGTAAGATAACAAAGTCACTGCATTATGACAATATGGTACTACACTGACATAATGACTAAACCATCACGTAGTAGTTAGTCAAACAAGCATTCAAAGTAAAATCCGGGGCCTGTTACTAAAATCAACACTAATCAGACGAATATTTCTGGACCGCAATTCGGAATATCTGGCAGCTCCAAGTCGTTAATTCTACAAACTCCTGAGATTTTCGAACCATTCTAAGACCTTATCAGTCCAATTGGAGGTTTAGCGACACAATCATCCATACGAATCTTTAGTATAAATAGTCGAGCGAATCTCCTACAAACTGAAAATATCACTGTCGAATTTACCACACAAACAACTGCCACTAAACGCACGTCCTCAGTGAACCTACATCTGTCTGCGAATCTATTCCGTTGATGCTTCGAGGCATTTGAAGACGTATCTACTGAGATGATCAGAAATAATTGAATTATACGAACTTATAGTCTCCGAAATAACTCAACTAATGCAAAATGTAAATATGTGAACACAAACGAACGTAGTGTATTGGGAATTCAAAATCAGGCTAACATCAGGTACAAAGGAATCATTAGTTCATGCAAACATCACAGATTAACTTGCTATCTAAGTTTCTGTGATCACTTGAACGTCTTATCATTTGGTTCATTGTATCTCTGTCAGGCTGTGTATTAGATACACTCAATGTATGATCTAGAATATGCTCATTAATAATAGAGTTAAAAACTAAAATTGGAACGGACGAACCTGGGTACAAGAACTGTATATGATCGGGTTTACAACTCACCACTACGATTTTACGGACTGGTTTTAAACTTATATGCGGCAAACGGAAAACCGATCGCCACAGATTTTAAACAATACGTGTATCTTAACATTGTTTCACGCAAACCGATCCATTTTATTTTCGTTTTCGCAGACAGTTTCATGCCAGTTATTGAAATAGACTTGCTACAACATCATAATTAGCTCATCAACATGAGTAAACGGAAGCACTAATTTATCTATTTGTGTAATGTTTTTTCTAATTGTAGTTTATCCCTTATCACAGGGTAGTGGTAAATAAATCCCCGAAATAAATAGCTCCGTAAGTTTTCGACATTGGATGCTAACCACACTAGTTTGCTCGTTTTTACGATTCTATATATCATCACCTTATTTTAATTTTTTATACATTGTGATATTTTTGTCCGTGTTTTTGGATATATATATTTTTTCACTCGTTCGTCCTCGTACTTCATATTTCACTATGACTGGACAGACACCCAAAATACTTAAGCTAAAGACTATGTCCCCACTTTCGTTTCAACTGATGCCCTTCTGGCCAGACAACATCAAAGCCTGGTTTTGCTACGCAGAAGCCGACTTCTCCGAGAACGGCGTGATCGACACACATGCACAACCCTTCGCAGTGGTCAAGGCACTACCGCGCGAATTCAACAGGTACGTAACACTTAGTATGTTTACTAGTGATGTTTCGGAACCCTACGAAATACTGAAACGATCTATCCTTAAACACCGAGACCTAACCGATAGACAAAGTTTAGACCAACAACTTATTAATATTGACCTGCAACACGGTTCTACGACGGACATGTTGCAACGGATGAGAGAGGTTAAAGGCTAAAGAACTTTCGATGATGGCCTATTTAAACAACTTTTCTTGTCGAAACTTCCTCAAAAGGTGCAAGCTATGCTTGTCTCGTTCCACAACAACGCCTAAGACGAGCTGGCTGCATCTGCCGACGGCATCTTATAAATCACTAAATCTTCTAATGCCGAGGTTTTTTCAGTCAAAGAAAAGACTCAAACGACCCAGAATGACATAACAGATTTATGTCATACACTTACAAGTTATCTTAAATTTCGTAACCACCGTAAACGGTCACACACCCCTCGAAGAAGCACTGCACGTTAGCGATTTGTCTCCAGACCACGAAAGACTGATGACCCCGACTAGTGCTGGTATCATAGCCAGTGAGGAAAGTCCTCCAGAAATTGCAGAGAACCCTGCAATTTTCCAAACTCAAAATCGACCAACACGAAAAACAAGTCAGGAAACTTCCAAGCCGGCATGCGTTAGCGGCAACCGTAGCCGGCGAACATAGCCGTCTATTATCCGTCACAGATGTGACAACGAGAGTTCGCTACCTCGCCGACACTGGCGCAGACGTTAGCGTTCTCCCAGCGAATTATAATGACCGGCTTCACGAATCGGCTTTAAACTTACAGGTGGCAAACGGAAAACCTATCGCTACGTATGGCAAAAGGTATGTTTATCTTAACGTCGGTTTACGCAAACCCATACACTGGATCTTCGTTGTTTCAGATGTTTCTATGCCGATCGTTGATATAGACCTTCTACAACACCATAATCTACTCATCGGTACGCGCAAACGGAGGCTAGTAGACGGAAATACTAATATATCTGTTTGCGTAACTCCTTTTTCTGGTTGCAGTCACAATTAAGCACACTATAGACACATTCTATCGACCACTACCCGAGAAGTATTCTGGGATATACCAAACGCAACCGAAATTACCATGTGTAACCAGCAACGTTACACATCACATCACGACTACAGGACCACCCGTATTCTCTAAAGCACAATGACTAGCCTCCGAAAAGCTTAGGTTGGCGGAAATCGAGTTTGACCACATGATAGGCCGTCAAACAGCCCATGGGCACTTCCGTTGCACATGGTCCCTAAAAAGGACAGCAACGATTGGCGTCCAACTGGTGACTATCGGCGATTGAATGCGAAAACCATTCCCAATCGTTGCTCGTTGCCTCAAATTCACGATATGACAGCTACCTTGAAAGGCAAAACTGTCTTTTCGAAAATGGACTTGGTTAAAGCGTATAACCAAATCCCTATGGCTACTGACGATATTCCGAAAACAGCTATCATAACTCCCTTCGGACTCTATGATTTTTGCGAATGCCTTTCGGTCTAAGAAACGCTGCCCAAAATTTTCAAAGGTCCATAGACGAAGTTTTTCGAGGTCTCAACTTCGTACATGCGTATGCTCATGTCTGTCTAATAGCAAGTCCGGACAGATCTTGTTTTCGACCGGCTACAAAAACATGACATTACTGTAAACATTCAGAAATGCCAAATCGGGACTGGCTCATAAGACTTCCTAGGACACTATAGATGCGCAAGTCGTTCAACCCAAAGTGGCGGCCACACTGGATTACCCAAAACCGACTACAATCACGCAACTGCTCATGTTTACCGACCTAATAATTTTCTATAGACGGTCCATACGAAACTGTGAGCCATTTATGAAACCTCTAGCCGACCAACTTCATGGAAATGCGAAATCCATCAATTTGGACGATACCGCGAGATAAGCTTTCTCCACAATTAGGGAACTTATCTCAAAAGCAACCATACTTGCATACCAGAATACGCAAGCATTGCACCCAAGTATCGCAGTGGATACATCCAACTCGACAGTCGGAGGAAGCTTACAACAATTGGTTAATTACACTTAGCAACCTTAGGCATTCTTCTCAAGACACTGAATCGAGGGATAGCACTTTTAGTAGGGAACTAATACCTCTCTATTAGGTCGGCTTCAGACAAGTACTCCCTCGAGAGTCTCGATAACCGGACTTTATTTTGCAGTTTACTTCGGACATACAATACATTTCTGGAGCAAACAGTGTAGTTGCAGACGCCTTATCTCACATAACTTCCTTGAACAGTTTCCAAAGAATCGACCTTCTTAAACTCGCCGAGCTTCAAAAAGAAGACACTGATCTTCAGTACGAGTTATCGACCACAACCCGCAAGTTACGTATCAAACAGATGGGAACAGGTAAGGAAATTTTACTTTGTGGCACATCTACAGGTAGGGATCGTCCAATCGTGCCAAAACGTTATCGACGCAACGTCTTCAATACATTGCACAAACTTTCTCATTCAGATGTTCGTGCAACCATCGAGCTTATAGCAGAACGATTTTGCTGGCCTGGTATGAATAAAGACTTTAGAGAGTGCGCACGCTCCTGTGTAAGCTGCCAAAAATCTAAGGTTACCAGACACAACAAGTGTCCCTTGGATTCATTCAAAACTCCGGACGCTCGTTCCGACCATGTCCATCTGGATTTGGTAGGACCTTTACCAGACTCAAATGAATACTTTTATCTTTTAACCTAGGCAGACCGTTGCACCCGATGGCCAGGAGCAGAACCTAACAAGGACATTACTACTCAGACAGTGGTCTGTGCCCTCGTCAAACGATGGGTAGCAAAATTTGTCTTCCTTTCAACTATCAATATAGACCGTAGACGCCAGTCCGAATCTGAACTTTTCCGTTGTCTGACCACACGTTTAGGGATCACACGATTCCAAACGAACCCCTACCACCCACAGGCAAACGGGTTGGTAGAATGCTTTCACCAAAAGCTAAAAGTTTCCCTACCAGCTTCACACTGGACCGACGCCCTTTCACTCCTCTTACTAGGTATTTGCAATGCAGTGAAAGCTGACATTGGATACACTGAGGCTAAACTCGTCTATGGAACGGCACTTCGACCTCCGGGAGAATTCGTGGATCCTCCATCCTCCTCAATGAACATGGATCTAACCTCCTACACGAACAGGCTTACAAACGCATTGCGTTCAGTTAAACCTGTTTCCACTCGACCGCAATCAACTGATGTTTTCGTTCAACCTGACTTACGATATAGTACACACGTCTTCGTAGTCGCGACTCACTTCGACGACCTCTCAAGTCAACATACAAAAGACCAGTCACAATTCTTCAACGTGAATCTAAGTACGACATCACCGACAAGAACGGAACTAACGACAGCATCAGACGCTTTCATAAGTCTTGAATTTGAGTCCCCTAACTGATTTCTTGGCTCGCCGTTGGGTACGTCTTTATGCTTTTGGAGCGAGGGAGGAAATACCATACTTATGTACTATAAATGGGGACGAATGAAACTGTTGAAGATTATGTGGAGAGTTCTTCGGTCGAACTGACCAAAAATGCGCATCAACGGACCAGTGCAATGTTTGTTCGAAAGGCATTTTTGTCACAGCTGGCGTAAAACTTTAAATCATAGGGTGTTGTTGAATGGAAAATATGTTTTTAGGCATAAATCGATGAGTTCTAGTATACTTTGAATTTGAAGCTTTGTGTACTAAGTACACAAACGAAAGGGACACCAATGGGATTACTCGTATCAGGACTGGTCGCAGAAGCAGTGATGCAAAGACTAGAAGCCGCGATATTACCAGGGATCAGGCCTAAAATTTGGATTCGCTATGTCGACAACAAATTCGTCATCGTCAAAAAGAATGAGCTGGAAAACACTTACAAGCTGATCAACAACGTCTTCGATGACATCAAGTTCACAATGGAACAGGAGTCTAACAACAAACTACCATTTTTGGATATGATAATCACTAGAACTGACACAGGAAAACTGGAAACTCAAGTGTATAGGAAACTGACCCATACAGATCAAATTCTCAACTACAATAGCAACAAACTAAGAGCCCACAAAATCAACTGAGTTCACACTTTGTTCAAAAGAGCGAGGACACACTGCAGCACACTGGCAGCACGAAAAAATGAAGAGAAATACCTGAAGAACGTATTTCGAAAGAACGGCTACCCCATCAACTTCGTCAAAAAATACCAACCGCACGCAGCATGAGAACCTAAGTCAAGCACAGAAATCAACAAAAGGATAGTCCTATCATACATAAATGGTATATCACAAACCGCGACGAGATTGCTGAAAACCTTTGGGATAGGTGTGACACGCAAACCGACAAAATCACTACAATCAATCCTATGCAAACCAAAGGATGAAATAACAAAGGAAGACAAATAAAACATCATCTACAAAATAAATTGTGCCAGCTGCGAAAAACACTACATTGGACAAAGCGGATGCCTCCTCCACCTTCGCCTACATGAGCACCAATTAGCAGTCAAACGCCGTGATACTTCCTCACTTATGTCAATACACGTGGACAACTGCGGACACTCATTCGATTGGAAAAATGTGGAAATATTGGACAGAGGAAATTCCAAAAACACCAGAGAATTTTTAGAAGCCTGGCACTCAGATCAATCAGCAATCAACAAACACATTGAGATCGATCCAATTTATCAACCAATCAGGAAAATTATGCACAAATAAGGGAACGAAAATCAAACCAATGGGAGACACAATCAAAACAAAGAAGTAAACAGTGATAAATTTAAGGTAAATAAGAACTATCAACGTCAAGGTGCACAGAACAACGCATATGGAGAAATTCGAACACTTCACTTCTATCTGAAGTTCGTGCTGATGATATCGTTCAGAAGAACGATGAAAGCTCCACGACCAAACCATCCAGCCCAGAGAATAAAACTCCATCAGAATCACCCACCTAAGCTACAAATCTTCTCGACCATCGCGAAAAGTTATGTCAGACGATACCCGTTGTGGAAGATCGTTTATACATATCAATAAAGGAAGACTACCTGATACTGAACGCTGGGGGTCCAACTAAGACATGCCATAACCTATAAATAAGTGTATGTATGTGTGATGACTCTTCTGACATATGAATATGTATAATAGCGTATCCAACGGCGAGTCATGAATTCAGTTGTAGGACCCAAATTCACGCCTTATGTAGAGCGCCTATAAGCGCTAATCGTTTTAATCATTATGGCACAGACGTCTTAGATGTGACCGTCTAATGACTCACAGTAACCTTAACACTTCTAGAGACCGCCTTAAACACCTACTTGGTTTACTTCCAACACAAACCTAAGGGGTTGTAGTGGCATTGTGCCCTAACCACACAATCCTCAGAGCTGAACACGAGACACTTAGGTGAATACATTTCCAACATTTAGAGCGAAGAAACGAATGGAATGAGTCCGAATCCATCGGATGGCATGGCTCTGCCTTACAGGCGTGGTCATTATTGAGTGTTATCATATACCTTTTATTCATACTAAATATATTGTTCTATCTCTAGCCTAAATATGTTCTTCATAATATATTGATGATTGTTACGACGCAATGAGTTGGTGTAGATAATAATGTTACTTTGTGGAGATGTGACTCACAAGTCTATTTTGTAAATAGTTTTTCGTATTATTTGTATTTATTTTGTCAATCTCTCACTGTATGTATATTTATCATTAAATGACTGTACCTGATGTTTTAGTGAATGACCTTGAACACACTTTCCGTTGTGTTACTGACATAGCGTGATATACTGCTGCTTGCTAACAAATACATTGCTATACACACGTACCTTGTTCTACTTTCGCTTGTGATTGAGCTAACTGCATTCTAAATCAAGCATTATCTGCATTTATAGACTGTGCGTCGGAATATATCATACCTAACATTGGTTTACACTACTGGAGAGTCAAACAACCTGAGCGGAATTACCGAAAATTTATAATTGTGGATTTTCCGTACCAGACCAATTCGAACACGCATCAACTTGGTGAACGTAAGTAAAGTCCTAATTTTTCTGTTGTATTTGCAACTGTCAACATTATTATTTGCTCTTTATAACTTGGTTAACAGTTTTTCTCGTTCATATTTGTCTGGTCCACCACAACTTCGAAGTAAGGTCCTATAGATTAAGCAGTAACATCGTGACAAATCTACAATTTTACGTTTAGGCCTATTATTAGAGCAGTACTAATATCATAGTAGACCGTAATTATATAGGCTAACACCCAGAAACTGGAGACATTACACAGCAGAACGGACTGTAGACACACTTTCTACTTCTCAATAGTAGTCAAATCCTGGGATCTGCTGCCGACTGAGCTTGTCCAAGCGACTTCGCAGAAGTCCTTGAAGAGGCAACTTGACTTATTCTTAAGGATTTAGGATAATATTTTGATATGATTTTCCATTTTCTTCCTCTTTTATCGCTAATATACTTAGGTTCACGTCTGGAGGTATTGGTGATCCACTGCTAGTAGATACGGAAGCCCGTTCAGCGCATGCTTTTACTTTTCCGTCGACAGCAACTTGAAGCATTAGAATGGCGCGATTTGTGGAGGATGCGTTGCGATGTGCAATGAATCCACTTAAGTTTGAGAGCTTTTATAAAACACAGCGTTATATCTCTCCGGAATACCTGAGGTGTTTTTGATAGGGCGGGTTGAAGTCACATGGAAATTTCACATTCAGTTTCAAAAGCTTTCATACCGTTTCGGCCAATTAAATGGTTGGTTTTGAAAGGTAACAGTCGGTTGTTTACTTCTTAAAATCGATACAAGAGGCAAATACTTCTCGACTAATCAACTTTTTTCTCCTAATTGTGAACGTAAATAACGTACAAAGCGCAAGCTCTATCGTTTCGAACGTTGTCACTGACATGGGTAACGTGTTCTTGAGCACGTTGTATTTGATATCCTTCCAATCGCTTGGAGCGCTAAAGAGCGCCATCAGAAATTACGAATGGGAGCGATGTACTGTTTTTATACTGTTCGCAACTCTCGTTTCCACAAGATTCAGAAGCCGTCTATTCTATTTATATGTTGGAGAAATGGTCGTAGAACACCTAATTGGTCTCCACAGCCTATTAGACGAAGGAGGTTAGTTGATTAATGTTATTACACTGTTCATGAAGGGCTGTAATGAGCACTCAGTGCCCGACATTCATCTATTGTAAATTTACTGAGGATTATTGGGTTGTTGTTCGTTGGAATGCGCATCACAATCATGAGTGCGACTTCATCAGATACGACAACAGTTCTTGGATGTGCAGGTAACTGACAGTGATACCTCTGCTGATTTCGGGGACTACAGCATTCACTATTGTCCACTTCGTCTGCCGATCTTATTGGAAAGGCCTGAATACGCAAGATCAAATCAATAAAACTGAATTTGCTGGTAGCTGACATGTTTTAGTTCATTACCGACTATATTTGTTTAATTTACAAACTCCATGGTTTCCCAGCTTGAACAGGCAATTATATATTTGAACCAGTGTCCTATTTGGTGAAAGGCGAACTAATGAACCGCAGCTCTTTAAGTTCAAACCAGTTGTTTGAAGTAATCGAATTTGTGTGGATTGTCGAGTACTCTAATTAGATGAAGCGCTCATCAAATAGTTTCTTCTTAGATTGCGTCGACTAATTCCTGACGACCACCCTCTGACTCCAGTTTGGTCTCATGACCGCATAAGAAATTTTTTAAAAAGTTCATAGAAACTGAAGTGACAGAAACAGAAAACTGAGTTTAATTGAAACGCTGTCCAACTTTTATATTCGTGAGAGTAATGCACAATCGTGCTAGCATACACGCATGCACGAAACATCCTAAAGGTTACTTACTGTTGAGTAACTGGCGAGGAAAATTGTTAGGGTGGTAGGATAACTATAAGTGCTAGAATAATTGATGTTCACAAACGTCATGATTATTCATACAGGTGCGTGATGACATCCACTGCTTTAAATTAAATTTGATGATTGTTTTCCATATTTGCTTGAACATATGAGAAGCTTACCTGGAAACCAATCTGTTCACAATTTAAGGCCTGATAGATCAAAAGTAACATACATTATCTTCAGACAATTGCAGCATAACATGGTTGTGAAAGTCAGATTACCAATATGAATACTATGAAGTTTTGGGCGTGAACTCACAACCTCATTTACAATGATTTTTTAGAATAATTATTCTATGCAACAAAAGAACGAAATCCTCCTTATGATATGAAAATATCCAGCAAGAGTTAGTGTACACAGATGTTGTTGCTATGTCACTGCATTGTACCACTGAGAATGAGTTGAATTTGGATACATGAACCGCCGAATTCATATTCAGTGTTCGAATGCTGGTGTAGTGTTTGAATCTCCAGATTTGCAAAATTGGTTAATGTTGACTACGTTTGTAAATGATTTCAGTTATTCTTCACGCTGTTCTCGAGTTCTATTTACCTATAACCACCGTTGCCTAGATACTGTTGCTTATGTTAACCCCTCATTTCCTTGGATACTTCGTACTGTACACTAGTTACCGCTCGTCGGACATGTTGCGATTTGCTGCCACAGTGTGTCTCCAAAATGTTTGCTTCATGAATTTACAAATTATACTTTTCAACGCTACCTGGTTAGTTGTACATCATCAGGCTGAAAAGTATCCACATATTTTGGAGTCATCTGTGCCATGTACTGATTTTGGACTTATCACTTACCTCCCAAGTGCGCAGTCACCAATAACTTGTAAGTAATACATAGATAATAATATTGGCAATGTTTTTGTCTAATTTTTCGTATGTTTCTATGCGATAAGACTGCTATAGTCTGAATATTTGTGTTTTTTGTACGCCCCATATCTTATTGCACACTCTCTAGGTATTTAGTTATAAATCACACCGTAATTATGAAGGTTAATGATACTATCCAGTTGACCATACCGAAGTGAGTGGAGCGAGATTCAAACCTGGGACATAGTGGCCGGAATTTGAACGCCTTAACTACTGTGCCACTCCGACTAGAGTGCAGGCACCCAACTAATATCTTGTGGGAACTTTTGTTAGGTACTTTCTTACTGTGGGAGTTCTTGAGTCGTTGATCTGTATTAATTTCCAACCTTGAGTAGAATTATTCTTTCTACCAAACCAAATCTATATGTATGATGTATTTATTCTCAATTTCGATCCCAAGTGCAATTTTTAGTGTTATTATTCATATGATTTCTCGTATTGTTTCATGTTCATGGATTCAGCGAATCGTACATGAATGGGTAACTTTTCGTGTGTTTAGGTATTACTGGTTAAACAAAACCAGAAGTTACTTGTCGGCATTGTTGTATCTAAATTTATAGCAACGTAAATGTATTTGAACAGGCTTAATGTTGACTAAATCATTCGTTGGCGACTTAGGAGTGTAGGCTTTGTACAAAAACTTCTTATTAATTGACTTGACTCATTATTTTGTGTACGATAATTAGACATGATGACTTAGTTCGTTGAGTAAAGTAAGACATTACGCAGGTAATGGATATTAACCTGTTCGTAGATTTCAAGCCATAAGGATAATGCTGTTGTATTACAGCCTACCCGCTTGAGGTCCTTGCGATGATCGTACACTCAGTGTTATCCTACATAGGTGATATAAAAATTTGAAACATCTCGTCAAAGCATTTGCATACTCAGTGAAGTGACCATATCGCATGAAAACCTTTGGCAGCTGCGACTGAAGAAATATTGGTATTTGATTGACGTAGAAAAGAAAAAATAGTTGACCGAATATAATGTCTTGGGATACCTCAAATTTTACTCGCTTCCATTCAAACAGTGTTGTAAGTTAGTAGTTAGAGTAGGATTTTTGTAATTAGTTTTGTTACTAGTTGCATTTCTCATCAATTCTTACAATTTGTACCATTACCATTACTACCTGTAAAACTGTCTTTCAAAAAACACAACCTTTGACCCTCCATTCCAATTTGTGAACACACATAACATGACCCACCGATTGTCGTTCACAAAATACTCTGCTGCACACATGGGTTGTTCTGGTTTCTGGACATACCAGTCTGTTCATTCTTAAACCACATTTTGGACTTGTCGCTTATTGGCTGATTTATTCTGACTTTTTATGTGATCGCATATGTGTTGATTGCTCATCCCACTCATCATATATCTGTAATTCGTTTTTTGTTTGACTATAGATATTGAGTGACGCTTGAATAAGTTGAGTTGGCTCACTTGCCTTCTCCGATTTGTTTGGCTTCGCTCTCTCTTCTTCGCTTCCTTCGCTGAGTTCCTCTGATTGTCTGTTCCGATCGACGATTGTGTGAAATATATGTATTCAAACTCCATTCTCGTATTTAACTTATTTAATTCCGTTACTCGCTAACGCGATTCAAGTCAATGAAATATACAAAGATAGCCGACATTTTTATTAATATCACATTTATAAATGTTCTGCTACCTAGGGTTGCTATCTAATCCTTTTTTATAATAATAAATTTCCAGAAGGGGTTTGTGGAGATTTTTAGAAATTTTCACAGATTGAAATCATGAGTCAGTTGAAGCTAGACCACCATTGAAAACCTGGAAGCACTGGACGGCCGTTTCGTCCTAGTATGGGACTCCTCGTGGATGGGTTGAAGTTAGACATTAACACCGTTGGATGCCGGCTCAGTGGTCTAATGGTTAAGCGCTCGCGCGCGAAGCCAGTAGGTCCTGGGTTCGAACCCCGCGTGGTGCGGGATCGTGGATGCGCACTGCTGAGGAGTCCCATACTAGGACGAAACGGCCGTCCAGTGCTTCCAGGTTTTCCATGGTGGTCTAGCTTCAACTGACTCATGATTTCAATCTGTGAAAATAATAAATTTCGTCAGACATAAATGGTTTTTCCGAAATACGTGTTGCTCAGGAGTTATCAGATTGTGTGGTTCTATGTGACATAAAACAAATAATCTTTTGAAGTGACTTAACTTTTATTCGGGTGAAACTGAGAGGTCTGTAGTTAAACGCGATTTGTCTCTGAACTCGATCGGTAATTGAAATAATTATGCCGCCTTTTCAGTACCTAGGGACTTGAGACTGAGAAACGAATATTAAGAAGAGCGTATTCAGTGGCGATCACACAACGATACGACCAACCATTCCGGAGATATTGCGAAACAGGCACTTCCACCAACAATTTTAAAATTTTCTTTGTTTCGTCTGATAGGTGAGATCGTCACCAATAATATAAAACAATTTTCACAACGATACGACCAACCATTCCGGAGATATTGCGAAACAGGCACTTCCACCAACAATTTTAAAATTTTCTTTGTTTCGTCTGATAGGTGAGATCGTCACCAATAATATAAAACAATTTTCACAACGATACGACCAACCGTTCCGGAGATATTGCGAAACAGGCACTTCCACCAACAATTTTAAAATTTTCTTTGTTTCGTCTGATAGGTGAGATCGTCACCAATAATATAAAACAATTTTCACAACGATACCACCAACCATTCCGGAGATATTGCGAAACAGGCACTTCCACCAACAATTTTAAAATTCTCTTTGTTTCGTCTGATAGGTGAGATCGTCACCAATAATACAAAACAATTTTCACAACGATACGACCAACCATTCCGGAGATATTGCGAAACAGGCACAGGACAACACAAGCAAGACATTGATCACCACCCAGTGATCGATCAATTGTGATTCCATCTCAGTCCTACAGGAGGTTAGTCACGGCTCGGATAGCTCAGTGGTAACGTCTCTGACTGTGAAGCTGGGTGACACGAGATCGAATCCGCCAGGGAGCATCAGTTCCCTCAAGATTACAGGTACACCTTGCTGACGAGTGCCAAGTAGCACGAAACCCGGGTCCAGGGTTTCCTGTTCACTACCTCCAACCACCATCTAAATCTCAATACATAGTGCCCGCAGTGTCGAGTCACCTAGACTGTTGGCCACATTGCAACATGATCGATAGCATTCGATCTGCACTAATAAGGACTAGACAAGCATGACATTGATCACCACCCAGTGATCGATCAATTGTGATTCCATCTCAGTCCTACAGGAGGTTAGTCACGGCTCGGATAGCTCAGTGGTAACGTCTCTGACTGTGAAGCTGGGTGACACGAGATCGAATCCGTCAGGGAGCATCAGTTCCCTCAAGATTACAGGTACACCTTGCTGACGAGTGCCAAGTAGCACGAAACCCGGGTCCAGGGTTTCCTGTTCACTACCTCCAACCACCATCTAAATCTCAATACATAGTGCCCGCAGTGTCGAGTCACCTAGACTGTTGGCCACATTGCGACATGATCGATAGCATTCGATCTGCACTAATAAGGACTAGACAAGCATGACATTGATCACCACCCAGTGATCGATCAATTGTGATTCCATCTCAGTCCTACAGGAGGTTAGTCACGGCTCGGATAGCTCAGGGGGAACGTCTCTGACTGTGAAGCTGGGTGACACGAGATCGAATCCGCCAGGGAGCATCAGTTCCCTCAAGATTACAGGTACACCTTGCTGACGAGTGCCAAGTAGCACGAAACCCGGGTCCAGGGTTTCCTGTTCACTACCTCCAACCACCATCTAAATCTCAATACATAGTGCCCGCAGTGTCGAGTCACCTAGACTGTTGGCCACATTGCAACATGATCGATAGCATTCGATCTGCACTAATAAGGACTAGACAAGCATGACATTGATCACCACCCAGTGATCGATCAATTGTGATTCCATCTCAGTCCTACAGGAGGTTAGTCACGGCTCGGATAGCTCAGTGGTAACGTCTCTGACTGTGAAGCTGGGTGACACGAGATCGAATCCGCCAGGGAGCATCAGTTCCCTCAAGATTACAGGTACACCTTGCTGACGAGTGCCAAGTAGCACGAAACCCGGGTCCAGGGTTTCCTGTTCACTACCTCCAACCACCATCTAAATCTCAATACATAGTGCCCGCAGTGTCGAGTCACCTAGACTGTTGGCCACATTGCAACATGATCGATAGCATTCGATCTGCACTAATAAGGACTAGACAAGCATGACATTGATCACCACCCAGTGATCGATCAATTGTGATTCCATCTCAGTCCTACAGGAGGTTAGTCACGGCTCGGATAGCTCAGTGGTAACGTCTCTGACTGTGAAGCTGGGTGACACGAGATCGAATCCGCCAGGGAGCATCAGTTCCCTCAAGATTACAGGTACACCTTGCTGACGAGTGCCAAGTAGCACGAAACCCGGGTCCAGGGTTTCCTGTTCACTACCTCCAACCACCATCTAAATCTCAATACATAGTGCCCGCAGTGTCGAGTCACCTAGACTGTTGGCCACATTGCAACATGATCGATAGCATTCGATCTGCACTAATAAGGACTAGACAAGCATGACATTGATCACCACCCAGTGATCGATCAATTGTGATTCCATCTCAGTCCTACAGGAGGTTAGTCACGGCTCGGATAGCTCAGTGGTAACGTCTCTGACTGTGAAGCTGGGTGACACGAGATCGAATCCGCCAGGGAGCATCAGTTCCCTCAAGATTACAGGTACACCTTGCTGACGAGTGCCAAGTAGCACGAAACCCGGGTCCAGGGTTTCCTGTTCACTACCTCCAACCACCATCTAAATCTCAATACATAGTGCCCGCAGTGTCGAGTCACCTAGACTGTTGGCCACATTGCAACATGATCGATAGCATTCGATCTGCACTAATAAGGACTAGACAAGCATGACATTGATCACCACCCAGTGATCGATCAATTGTGATTCCATCTCAGTCCTACAGGAGGTTAGTCACGGCTCGGATAGCTCAGTGGTAACGTCTCTGACTGTGAAGCTGGGTGACACGAGATCGAATCCGCCAGGGAGCATCAGTTCCCTCAAGATTACAGGTACACCTTGCTGACGAGTGCCAAGTAGCACGAAACCCGGGTCCAGGGTTTCCTGTTCACTACCTCCAACCACCATCTAAATCTCAATACATAGTGCCCGCAGTGTCGAGTCACCTAGACTGTTGGCCACATTGCAACATGATCGATAGCATTCGATCTGCACTAATAAGGACTAGACAAGCATGACATTGATCACCACCCAGTGATCGATCAATTGTGATTCCATCTCAGTCCTACAGGAGGTTAGTCACGGCTCGGATAGCTCAGTGGTAACGTCTCTGACTGTGAAGCTGGGTGACACGAGATCGAATCCGCCAGGGAGCATCAGTTCCCTCAAGATTACAGGTACACCTTGCTGACGAGTGCCAAGTAGCACGAAACCCGGGTCCAGGGTTTCCTGTTCACTACCTCCAACCACCATCTAAATCTCAATACATAGTGCCCGCAGTGTCGAGTCACCTAGACTGTTGGCCACATTGCAACATGATCGATAGCATTCGATCTGCACTAATAAGGACTAGACAAGCATGACATTGATCACCACCCAGTGATCGATCAATTGTGATTCCATCTCAGTCCTACAGGAGGTTAGTCACGGCTCGGATAGCTCAGTGGTAACGTCTCTGACTGTGAAGCTGGGTGACACGAGATCGAATCCGCCAGGGAGCATCAGTTCCCTCAAGATTACAGGTACACCTTGCTGACGAGTGCCAAGTAGCACGAAACCCGGGTCCAGGGTTTCCTGTTCACTACCTCCAACCACCATCTAAATCTCAATACATAGTGCCCGCAGTGTCGAGTCACCTAGACTGTTGGCCACATTGCAACATGATCGATAGCATTCGATCTGCACTAATAAGGACTAGACAAGCATGACATTGATCACCACCCAGTGATCGATCAATTGTGATTCCATCTCAGTCCTACAGGAGGTTAGTCACGGCTCGGATAGCTCAGTGGTAACGTCTCTGACTGTGAAGCTGGGTGACACGAGATCGAATCCGCCAGGGAGCATCAGTTCCCTCAAGATTACAGGTACACCTTGCTGACGAGTGCCAAGTAGCACGAAACCCGGGTCCAGGGTTTCCTGTTCACTACCTCCAACCACCATCTAAATCTCAATACATAGTGCCCGCAGTGTCGAGTCACCTAGACTGTTGGCCACATTGCAACATGATCGATAGCATTCGATCTGCACTAATAAGGACTAGACAAGCATGACATTGATCACCACCCAGTGATCGATCAATTGTGATTCCATCTCAGTCCTACAGGAGGTTAGTCACGGCTCGGATAGCTCAGTGGTAACGTCTCTGACTGTGAAGCTGGGTGACACGAGATCGAATCCGCCAGGGAGCATCAGTTCCCTCAAGATTACAGGTACACCTTGCTGACGAGTGCCAAGTAGCACGAAACCCGGGTCCAGGGTTTCCTGTTCACTACCTCCAACCACCATCTAAATCTCAATACATAGTGCCCGCAGTGTCGAGTCACCTAGACTGTTGGCCACATTGCAACATGATCGATAGCATTCGATCTGCACTAATAAGGACTAGACAAGCATGACATTGATCACCACCCAGTGAT